CCTGGATAGGTGACTACAATTCACCAGATCTTAAATACTCAAGCTTAATTAACTTTAGTCCTGATCAAGAAATGAGACAAAAGGGAAATGTAGCTATGTTAAAACTCTTAACAAAAAATTAATCAAATTTCCTTTCAGAATATTTTTTCTTCTACCAACTTTTGATTAAAGCTGCTAGTGGAAACCAAATTGATGCGTTTGAGTATCAAATTTTAATTTTCACTCTTATTTACCTTAGGAGAACTTCAACGTTCCAACAGGCAGGAAATCAGAAGCATGGAGAAGTAAAGGATCCTAGAAATCAGTACACTGGTTCTGATTGAGAGCCCACTATGCCTTATTTATTGTTCAGATTATTCCTCATCTGGGCTTGCTGTTCTTTTAAGATAAATACACTAAAAGGTCATTAAAGTATAAGGTCACAGCAAAGGGATTGTAGACTCCAAACAAGAAGGAACCAGTGTTATTCACTTTGGTTCTTAGCATAAGAATGCACTCAGTAATGTTCATTAGATATCATTATTCATTTATCCACTTAACAAAAAATTACTGAATACCTACTATGTGCTTGGAACTGTTCTATACTCAGGGGATATAGTGGTATTTGAGATTAGGTCTTGTCCTTATAGAGCTCACATTAGAGAAGGGAGAGGAGGCAGACAAACAAATAAGCAAGTAAATAAATAAGATAATTTCAGATTGTGATAAATTCTATAAGTACAATAAATAGGGCAGTTAATAGTGACTTGGGAGTAGAGGTTGTTAGATGGGAAACTTAGAGATGACTTTTTGAAGAGGTGATATTTGAATTGAGACTGGAAGTTGAGAAAAACCCTTCCATACAAAAACTCAGGGAAATAACTTTCTAAGCAGAGAGAAGAACAAACACAAAAACTCTAAGGCAAAAACAGGCTTGATGTTCTCAGAAAAAGAAATTCAACATGGCTGAAATGTTGATGAGGTAGGTAGATCATACTGGGCTTTGTAAGATATGGTAAGACATTTGGTTATGTTATCAGTTTAGTGGAAAGTTGCACCAAAGGACTTTCTCCATGGGAATGATTCTGAATGCTGTGTAGAGAATGGTTTGGAGGGGATCACAACAGGAAGAGGAAAGAAGAGTTAAGAATCTGACAGAAGTCCAAGAGAGAGCTAATGATGTCTTGAACTAGGGTGGTGACGGTGAAGATAAAGAGAAGTGATCTAATTTACAAGTAGAATAAATAAAATTTACTGATAGATTGCATATGGGGCGTGAGAGAAAGAGAAGAACCAAGGATGACGTCAAGAATTTTTATTTGAGCGACTAAGTGGATGAGGAATACTGTAGGGAAAGTGGGGTGGGTGGAGGGAAGGTTGAGTGGAGGGGGGATCAAAATTTTTTATTTTGACATGGTTAGTTGGGGATACCTACTAGACTTCCAAGTGGAGGTCTTGAATAGGTAGCTAGATATATGAATTTGGACCTCAGGAAACAAGTATGGACTATAGATATAAATTTGATAGTCATCAGATTATGAGTGACATTTAAAGTCATGTTGTTGGACTTACAGACAGAGTATAGATATAGAGGAAAACAGATGTTGGGAACAAGCCCTTAGGTATTCCAACATTTAGAGATCAGGTAGCAAAGAAGAAGCTGGGCAAAAGGATCTGGGATAAATCATATAGAGCAATAGGAGGAAAACCAAGAGGGTGTCGTATTAAGGAAGCAATGAGAGAAAAGAAAGTATTTCAAGAATTAGGGAACGATTCACTATATTAAATGCTACTGAGAGATAGTTGGCTGAAGACTGAGAAATAACATTGGATTTGGCAACATAAGACGGTTGGTAACCTTGACAAGAGCTGTTTCAGCAGAGTAGTGGGGACAGAAGCAAGCCTGGCATGGACTGAAAAGTGAAAGAGAGGAGAGGGAATGGTTACAATGAGGATGGCAACCTTTTTTGAGACGTTTTACAGTGATAAGAAGCAGAAAAATGAGGCAACACTGGAAGATAATGTGGAGTTAGGAGAGTTTTGTGTAATGCAAATCTGTATGTTAATAGGAATAATCCAACTGAGAAGGAAAAAAGTGATACTGTAGGATAGAATGCCAATAATTGCATGAAAAAAGGGCTATGGGAGGGCAGGAAGAGGGATCCTGAGCACATTTGGAGGAGTTGGTCTTTGATAGAAGAAGAGACACTTTATCCATAAAAGAGGAAATGGATACAGATGCAGGCAGGTTGGTAAATTTGGTGGTGGGAAAATGAAATCTCTTCTCTTTCTGTTTTCTTAATGAAAGAATAAGTGAGGTCATCAACTAGGAATAAAGAATATAGAAGAGAAGTTGGAGGTTTGTGGAGACATGGGATGTGAAATAGTCTCAAAGACTAGGAGAATTAATTAGTGAATTGTAGGATTGCTTGGCAGTGCTGTTAGGCCCTTTGGAGATTTTTTATTATACAGTTTAAAGTCTGAAATTCATGTACTCATAAGAATAGAGACCTTCAATGTCACTAATTATCAGAGAAATGCAAATCAAAACTAAATTGAGGTATCACCTCACACCATTTTGTGCAGCCATTATGAAAAACAGTATGGAGATTCCTCAAAAAACTAAAAATAGACTTACCATATGATCTAGCAATCCAATTTCTGGGTATATATACAGAGGGAATTCTGATTCAAAAAGACACCTGCACCCCAATATTCATAGCAGCACTATATACAATAGCCAAAACATGGAAACAACCTAAATGTCCATTGACAGATGACTGGAGAAAGAAGCTGTGGTATATTTATACAATGGAATACTAGTCTTGCCATAAAGAATAATAAAATAATGCCATTTGCAACAACATGGATAGCCCTGGAGAGTGTCATTCTGGGTGGGGTGGGCCAGAGAGAGAGAGAAGGATACTGTGTGATGTCACTCATATGTGGAATCTCAAAAAAAAAAGACAAATGAACTTATGTATAAGACAGAGACGGACTCACAGACATGGAAAACGGACTTGTGGTTACCGCAGGAGGTGGGTGGGAGGTGATGGACTGGAAGTTTGGGATCTGCAGATGCTGACTAGTATATATAAAATAGATAAATAAGTTTATACTGTATAGCACAGGGAACTATATTTGATATCTTGTAGTAGCTTACAGTGAAAAAGAATATGAAAATGAATATATGTATATTCATGTATGACTGAGGCAATGTGCTGTGCACTGGAAATTGACACAACATTGTAAACTGACTACACTTCAGTAATAAAAAAAAATAGAGAGCTTACTACTATCACCACAACCATCACCACTACCCATAGGACCTGATTTCAAAAAATAAAAAAATCTCATCATGTCAATCTGGCCCTGCCTTCTATTTTATAATTTTCTACTCCTTAGGTTCTGCCTGAAACACTTTTCTACATCTGTCAAGGGCTAGATCTGGCATAATGAGTTTAAATTGGCCCAGAGTGGACAAGTGGGAAGTATACAGCATCCCTCTATACGCTGAGACTCATCTACTGCCTCCTATGAGATCCTTCTCCCAAATGCATCCATAATGCTTAAGCTAGAAAATCTGATTTATGTCCCTCAAATCCAAATTTTAGATAGACCTCTTTTCAATTGCATTAGATATGCTACTTTCTCTTGCCTGCTAAAGAAAAAGGCCTGGACCAGTGAAATTAAGTCCACCATGGAAGTACAGGTAGCCCCTTTAAGAACTGATGTACAGAATGGTCAGGAACCTGTGATTCTGTCTACTATGACATCAGGGAGCAAAGTTAAGAAGGAGTGGCTGTAGACACAAGTGAAGCTTTCTTGCCAAGCTTCTTGCTACTGAAATCACACTTCCAAGAGTCATGGTTTTCTTTTTTGTTTTATCGTGTTTTTTTTTTCATTTTAAAGAAGATTGCAAAAACAAAGCAGAAAAGGAAAGCTCAAAGACAAAAGAAAGATATTTAAACAACAGAGGAAAAATATTGGGTCTGTTTCATTCTTCCTGTTTGTATCAGGTTGTCTTCCCAGATGATACCTAACCTTTATCTCATCTCTGACATTACAAATCCAAGGTTCCCCACCCTCTCAGAGGTGGTTGTGGAAATGAACTGAAACTTAGGAATGAGTCATGGTATATATTTCACATATAACTTAATCTTATTTTTAATCAGAAAGTGCAATGGATTATCTTATAGTCTGCATCAAATTTCCCTATTTCAAAATATCTCTATAAAAGTAGCTGTGTAAAAATATCCATGATTTCAATATGACTCCATCAAAATAACCATGTCACAATGTTATCTACCCACTCATAACCAGTATGGCTATAAGAATAGGCTTCATGTAAATCTGGTCTGGATCCACTTGTATGCCTCATGTCTGTGTTAGAATGCCAATTTCTTGCTTTAAAGTCCACCCCATTTTACTATAATTTACTCTTTGCTTATGCACTTACTCAAGTGTGGTCTTTAAGAACCAAGTCTTCATCAGTTGATTTGTATGTATTAGCTTTTCTCCAAAACTCTCTGCAGTATGTTGTAACTGTTTAATGCTGTAGTTCCTTATATTCAGCCTCAGTGTTCTGTGTCTAAGTTACTTTTTGTCAACTCTGTTTTCTCTGGGGGTGTTTTTCATACCATGATAATGGTAAGGGGGATTTATGTTTAATACTTTTGGCTGAAAGGTCCACTTACTGCTTAGAATAATAGCTGAATTGAATCTTCCATTTGCATTTCTCCTTTAGTAAGTCATTCTATATCATAGCTAGATAAAGAGAAATATAGATAGATGACAAATAGAAATAGAGAAAGACTTGCTAAGTTACCTCTATAATATGCAAACATTTGCCTTTTAGTATTATTTTTTGTTTAATTGCTACTTTTTAGGAACAAGCCTGGAGATATCTTGACATTTAGATATTTAGCATGTAGTATCAATGTGGGCCATTGTATTTCAAATTTCTTTAAAATCATGGCTAAACAATTTCCTCTCTCCCTTAAAAAAAAATCTACGTGCAGAGTCCCTGGAGTTCATCCCCTCAGAGTGTCTTTCCCAGAATTCCTGTATCTCAACCACAACAGTTTTTTGGAAGAAATTACAAGTAAGTAATTCCCTTAAAAGGAAAATTGGAGCTTGTAAATACCGAAAAAGAAACAAAGCAGGATCTTATTTGGGAAAAATTTTAGTAGACAGTTTTATGTATTTATTTTTCAATAGGAGACGGAGTTGCAGAGAGAGAGGGGCATAGTCAGAGATAACAATGTTTCTAACTATGAATATATACATAATTTTATATATGCCAGAGTAGAAGATAACTCTTTAACATATTTTTGAAGAAAAATCACTGACCAAAATTAATCTGCAAGATTTTAAAAATTGTATTTCCTTCATTTATCTAAGTATCATAGTAATGTCTTAGACATTCTTAGAATATAGGAAATATTCCCTAAAATAACTCTAGTTTTAGTGAGGAATGAAAGAGGAATGGAATAAAAGGAGAATGGTTTTGTTTGGTTTTGTTTTAAGGAAGATGTTATTATTTTAACATATCTGCTATATTGCTCTAATGTGATTTCTGGATGATTTCATTTATTTGCTTCCTATAGAATATAGTGATAACAATCTATGTGTGTGATATTTTTAAAATATCCTAAAATATTTCATGTTTATTTTTTCATTTATAAAATAGCATTATGGCTCATGAGCCCAAAGAGGACAATCCTTACATCCAGCCATTTTATAACTGGGATGGCTCTCTGGGAACAACTAGACCTGAAGTAAATATGGGGACAAGTATTCTTCGACCATACACATGAAGCCACTTTTTGTATGTATCATGCATTTTAATTTCTGTATATGGTTATCACCACCATAATTCAAATAAAGGTAATACAATGAATACTAAGACTTTGCTAGAGTAAAATGATATGACAGAATCAGTTGAGATAAAGATATGGAAAGTTTAGCTTATAAGACTCACTATCACTACTATTTCATTCTGTAAAATGGGATTTGAAAGTAGGAGTCAAAGGTATGGTATATATAATACTTTATATGTATTAATATACTATATTATATATGTAACTTAAATTTGCAATCTTTAGAAAGGAAGTTTGAGTTAAATGAAGACCGGTTAAATGCCATGAGACTGACTCAGAGGTCAGACTGTTCTTATGACAATTATTAAATTATTGTAATCTAACAAGGTGACTGCTATTTTGTGTTTTAGTGTACTTAAATAATATGTTGTACTTAAATAGTACATTGCTCAAGCTAATGCTGAATACTAGCTAATCACTGATCTCTAGTTACAAGACACATTAACAACATAAAATGCAAAATGTGTTTCTTTGTGTAAGTGTTTAAGACAGCACAGAAAAAAAAGTGAAATGGATTATCCACTAAAAGTTATCTTCTTGAATGTTCTTAACAAATACAATGAATTACAGAAAAATGGAACTAATTCATCAAACATGAATACCTGATGTTGATTGACATGCTGAGGTGCTGTTTTTTAAGGGGTTCATTTTTAGTTGAGTGACCACTGACAAAATAACCTTCCCCAAAAAACCCACAGTGGAGATAGTGATGTCACAAAGATGGCAACATAGGTCATTCCTAATTTCACTCCCCCCTAGAAGAACAACTAACATCTATTCAAGAACATGGCACCACTGAGTGAATCCTAGAACATGGGGGTGAGACTAAAGCACTCCTTGCATCACAGAGGCCAAGACATACTGCATTAGAAAGATAAGAGAAGCAGCTACACGTTGACTGCATTGCCCTTCAAATTTTAGTATAGCACCACACAGAGAGGTCTCCTCTGAATCTCTGTGATTCCTCCAATGGGAAAGGATAACATAGTGGGAGACAAGCAGCCCCTTCAGCTTCATGGGTTGCTTTGCAGGAGCCTCTACTCTGGTCTTGCCCCACAGAGTGTGCAGAGGAATCTGAAGGGCTCAACCACTGTGAATCTGACTGTTATGGAGAAAAGGGAAGGGGCTTGCAATAAACAGCACAGGATCTTGGCAAAACAAATTCATACTTGCAGTGCCCAGGTAGTAATCCTAACTAGCAGCTTTGCACATCTGCAGAACCAAGTCAGGGATGTACTTTGACCAGGCACAACTCACTAGAATGCAGATCTGCCTGAATTATGTCCTCAAATGGGGAGTTTTGCTGGCCTTAGAGTTTGGGCCAAGGAGTCTGAGGCAAGGAGCTGAGTCAAAACCCACCCACTGGGAAGTGTCTCCCAACCCTATCTGATCAGAGAGGCTGGTGAGATCACCTGGAAGCTGTGTAGCCCAGCAACACTCCAGCTGAGAGACATGTAGAGCTGATTGCCCCCAGAGTAAAGCCAGTACTGGGCTTAGAGGGTTCCCTTGTTAAGCCCGGGAAGAAGGATTAATTCATAGCCAAGGCTGAGGGTAGCTCCCAGTCTCTCCAGACCAGAAAATCTGCTGGGAAAAAAATGGGAGTTGCCTGGAGCAACCCTTCCCTGTCCCACTCAGGCAAGTGAGCTGAAACATAGCCCCACCCACTGAGGCTCTATGCTCATTTGACCAGAAGAACTGGCAAGAACACCTAGAAGCTGTGTAACCAGCAATGCTCAAGCCAAGAGGTGGACAGATAGAGCTGATTGATCCCAGAGCAAAGCCAGTACTGGGCATAGAGGGTTCCCCTGCTATGTCCAGGCAGAGGGATTAATTCATAGCCAAGGCTGAGAGTAGTTCTGAACTCCTCCAGACCAGAAAACCTACTTGGAAAAAGTGAGAGAGGCCTGGAGTGGCCCCTTCCCATTCTGCCCAGGCAAAGGAACTGAGACATAGCTCTACCCACTGTGGAGAGTATCTCCCCACCCCATCTGACCAGAAAGGCTAAACAAGAACACCCGGAAGTTGTAGCAGCACTTGAGACAAAAGGCAGGCAGGCAGAGCTGATAGTTTTCAGAGCAAAACCAATAGACCTGTTTGGCCATGGAACTTGGGGTACAAACTGGCTTGACTTAAGACAACAAAGAGCTTTACTGGCTTTAGAGCTGCTTCTCTCACTGCAACCAGGCAGGGAAACATTCATAGCCTCACTTATTGCTGAATACAGCCTCTAGCTTGCCTGACCAGGGGACCTAACCAGAGCATATTGGAAGCTGCAGAGCCCATCCAACAGCCCTGCTTAGAGTGGCACTTGAACAGACAGCACAACCCATGTTTTTCCCCATTTGCAGAGAAAAACTAGTGGTCTCACTTGAACAGAGAATTCATTGCACACTGTTGCCTCATTTGGGTTCCCAAACAAGCCATACAGGTCTTCACTGCCCTGCCAGGAAGGGAAGCTAATTCATGGCCCCATCTACTACTGAGTATAGTATCCAGTCCCAACCATCTAGTAACCCTGACCAAAGAATTCCAGCAACTATAGCACCATCTAACAGCCTCACTTGGGTAGGGAACCAAGCCAGCAGTCTTATCCAACTGTTCTCAGCTAGTGGCACACCTCCCCATCACCATCCTCAGAGTTTGAACAGTTGCCTCCTCCCAAAGTAGAACATAACAGCATGGCCCACTGGCCTAAGGACATTACCGGCAGATGTGCCTAGAAACCCAAACTGAGCTAATTGGTGAAGATCTGTCTCTGCCAAAGCAAACCTGTAAAATCTGGAAGAGAAGCCCAAATTACTCAAACACATAGATACCAATGTAAGGAATTAAGGATAATGAAAAACCAAGTAAATATGACACCAATAAAGGAAACTAATAAAGCTCCAACAACTGACCCTAATGAAATGGAGATCTATGAACTGTCAAAGGATTCAGGATAATTCTCTTAAGGAAGTTCAGTGAAATACAAGAACACACAGACAGACAACTAAATTGAATTAGGAAAACAATGAGTGAACAAAATGAGAAGTTCAGCAAAGAAATAAAAATCATCAAAAAAAGAAAACCTCGGAAATCTTAGAGTTGAAATTATAATAACTGAACTGTAGAATTCAATAGAATTTCAATAGCAAACTCGACTATGCAGAAGAAAGAATCAGCAACCTGGAAGACTGGGCATTTAAAATTATCCAGAGAAATAAAGAAACAAAAATGAAAAAGAGTGAAGAAAGCCTGTGGGACTTATGGGACATGATGGGAAAAAAAAACAATATTTGCATTACGTGACTTCTAGAAGGAGAAAACAAAGAGAAAGAGATAGAAAGTATATTTACAGCAATAATGCCTGAAAACTTCCTGAATCTGGAGAGAGAAATAGACATTCCGATCCATGAGGCCCAAAAGACCCCCAAAAAGTGAAACCCAAATAGGGCTACACTGAGACACATTATTTAACTTGCCAAAGGTCAAAGACAATTTTAGAAGCAACAAGAGTAAAGAGAAGTTGAATATAAGGGAACCCCAATGAAATTATCAGCATATTTCTCAACAGAAATTTTTCAGGCCAGGAGAGAATGGGATGACATTCAAAATACTGAAAGGAAAAAAAAACTGTCAACCAAAAATTATATACCCAGTGAAGCTGTCCTTCAGAATTGAAGGAGAGCTAAAGACTTCCCTGAAAAAAAAAACAAAACTGAGAGAGTTTATTACCACTTGGCCTGCCTTACAAGAAATCCTAAAGGCAGTTCTTTGAGTGGAAGTAAAAGCACATTCATTAACATCATTAAAAAACATAAAAAGATAGCAAAAAACTCACTGTTAATGGTAAACATATACTCAAAGTTAGATTCTGTAATATGGTAATGGTGGTGCATAATTCACTTACAACTCTAGTTTAAATGTTAAAAAATTAAAATAGTAAAAGTAACCATAACTACAATAGTTTGCTATTAGTTACACAATATAAAAACCATGAAAATTATAACAGCAATAACTTTAAATGTACAATGGAGGAGATGGAAAAGTGTAAAATTTAGGAATTTTATTGAAGTTGTTATCAGCTTAAATTAGGGCATTATAATTTTAATATATTTTGTGTAAGCCACATGGTAAACCATAAGGGGAAAATATGCAAAAATTACACAAAAAATATGATAAAGAAGTCAAAGGTTACTGATACCAAATGCATCAAAACATACACAAAAAAAGAGAGCAGGATAAGAAATAAGAAACAATGGATCTACAAAGCAATGAGAAAAAAATAACAAATAGTAAGTCCTTATCCATCAATAATTACCTTAAAATTAAATGGATTAAATTCTCCAATCAAAAGATCCAGAGTGGCTGAATGGATTAAAAAAAACCCAAGATCCAATGACTGGCTGCCTATAAGAAACTCACTTTCGCCTCAGACACAGAATAGACTGAGAATAAAGGGATAGATAAAGACATTCCAAGTAGATGGTAACCAAAAAAAAAAAAAAGCACTGGTAGCTACACTTGTATTGGAAAAATGCACTTTAAACTAAAATTGATAAAAAGAGACAAAGAAGGCCATCATTTAATGATAAAGTGGTCAATCCATCAAGAAGATTTAACAACTGTAAATATTTATGCACCTAACACTGGTGCAGCTAAACATATAAAGCAAATAATAACAGAACTAAAAGGAAAAATAAACAGTAATACAGTAACAGTTGGGGATTTTAATATCCCATTCTCAACAATTGGTAGATCATCCAGACAAAGAATCAATAAAGAATCAGGAGATTTGAACAACACTGTAGTCTAATTGACCTAGTAAACATATACAGAACATTTTATCAAACAACATCAGAATATGCATTCTCTCCAACTGTGCATGGCACATTTTCTAAGATAGACCATATATTAAGTCACAAAACAAGTCTTAGCAACTTGAAGATGACTGAAATCATATCAAATACCTTCTCTGACCACAATGGCATGAAAATAGATATCAATAACAAGAGAAAACTTGAAAATTCATAAACACATAAAAATTATGGGATGCAGCAAAAGCATTTCAAAGAGGGGACTTCATAGCAATAAATGACTATGAAGCAAGGAAGATCCCAAATAAACAATCTAACTCTATGCCTTAAGAAACTAAAGAAGAACAAACTGGGCCCAAAGTTAGCAGAAAGAAAGAAATAATAAAGACTACTGCAGAAATAAATGAAATGGAGAACAAAAAACAACA